CTCTTAGGTCACCGAATTTTCTTGGCATGGGGGTGAAAAGGGACTGAAAACGCGAGTGAACAGGAGAGACAGCTTTTTGTAGCTTGGCCTCTCCTGCATGCTACTTTCCCATAGACTTGCCCTAGCCCCGAGGTCTCCCACTCGAGCGGCAGAGACGTCTTCCCTTGGCCTTTAATTCTTCCCTCAAAGATCGAAAAAAAAAAAACTAAAGTGGGAAAAAAAGAGGGGGGGGAATTCCTCGCTGGGATGACAGAGCAACAGAGCTTGAGCGGGGAGGGAAGAAAGTGGGAAAAGCAACTCGGAAATCATCATCTGATGGTTAAAACCTGCCTGGGGTAAAATTTCAACTCGATTTTATAGCCTTCTATTATGACGCAAAGAAAAATTTACGACCCTTGCTTGAAAAGAGGGCCGGGGCCTTTTCTCACCGGTTTAAGAATAGATGGCAGATGCCGTGACAGCGACCATTGTTCCCGGTAGACACTGGCGACCGGGCAACCTCGGCCCGCGTGCGCCAGGCGCGTCCCCCACCCGGGCCGGTTTTTTACAACTCCTGTTGTCTTGCAGCAGCCCGCACGCACCCTCGCCCCCTCACCCCTCGCACCCTAGCACCTCGCACACCCTCACATCTTCTCTGTCTCTCTCACATACACACGTGAACGCGCACGCGCGCGCACACACACACACACACACACACACACACTCGGCCGCTCTCAGTAATTTTTCATAAGTGCAAAGCTTTGCTGAACCAAAGGTCACCATCCAAGCCACTAACAACTTCTCGCCGGCGCGCAGTTCCAAATCAGGAAGCAAAGGGAACTATTTGTCAGCAGCCCTGACAGCTAAGTTCATTAAGGATTTAAATCTGATGAAATAAAAGTCGCCAAAATATTTACCTGCCGGCTGCGCTCCCGCGCCCGCCGGGGGCCCGGGGGGTGGAGGGCCAGGAGCGCCGCGCGGCCCCCCTCGGCGGGTGATATTCTTGGGATCCCTGCACTTTCCAAGTCGGAGAGAGCCCTTTGCGTGGCAGATTAATGACGACTCCGTGTTTCTTAAGGGACGTGCTGAATTAATTATTTCGCCAATCACGTGGTTGGGACTTGTAGAAATCTATTCTTATCATCTTCCTCGCACTTTGAAAATTCTCCGGGTTATGAAAGGCCCTCCCCCCAGCTGCCTGCGAGCTCTGGCCGCCCAGCCTGGCGCGGGGGGCAGGGAGGGCTCCCCAACATGGCGGGCGGCGCAAAGCGCCGTCTGCCGAGGGTCCCGATTTACTGTACTGTACTCAGCCGGCTCCGCTATGCACTCGTTTCCTCCTCATGCCTGCCGGTGAGTCAATACACACACACACGGTATTAATGTATTGGTGGGCACAGGAGGAGCCATTAACCAGAAGACGGGCAGAGGACAATCATAAAATGTGTCTGAATATTTAAACTTCTGTCTGCGCACTTATAAATACACATGTCCACGCGTCTGGGGCGAGCACTTCCATATATTAAGGACACATGTCTGATTTTATGTTTTCTGCTCATTTCCTGCCTCGACCAAGCCCCCTATCTATTTTGGGACTCCTTTCTTGGCTCCCTCTTCAAGGCAAGGGCAAGACCTGTAAAAGCCCTAGCGATAAAAATAGTGAACGGTACTTTTAATAGTAGGGAGTGTTTATTGTTATCTGAAGGGTGGAGGGGGCTCGGGGAAGGAGGGGCAGGTGCTGGAGCTTCGCTGGGCTGAGCAGCACTGGAAAAGTGAAGAAGCCTAAGACTGGTGGCCAGAGGGGTCAGGTCAGAGCAGCCAACCGTCCTCAGCTTGGCCCAAAATCCAGCACCCTCTCTCAAAGTTGAGGGTGGGGGTGGGGCAGGAAGGGGTCTCTTCCCTGTCACAGCACAAAGACCTTCCCTGAGGGCTCAGAGACTGAACGGGTCTGGGGTAGGCTAGGGCCCAGAGAAAAACCAAACTGGAGCCCCCTATTAGCCCAGGCAATTACTTTTTCTTAAAAAAAATAAAAAATGCTCAACACCCTGCAGGCTAAATCTAACTCCAGGCTTCCCAATGCTCACAAAATATGGTGGCCAAATTGGGAGTATGTGTATATTGGGTAGGAGGTGATAACTTAAGACTAATTTATTGCAGAAAATAATAAAAAAAAATGTTTTGTTAGCTTTTAGGAGACTTAACGGAAGAATGCTCTGTCAAGGCATCAAACGGGAGGGAGATTTTGCTACACCTTTTATTATTTTAAATATAGATCAGTGAGTTACATCAAAACTACAGACAACAATTAGTATAAATAACACTTTAATCAGTGGCAGTAAAACATTGGTCAATTCTATTTAAAAAGCATCTTGTGTGAACAGACACCATGGGACTATGGGGCTGACTGACAATGTCATCTCACAACAAAAGGCTGCGATGGACAAAGTGAGATGAGAGTCTGAGGAGCAGTGTCCTCAGCAAACATTTCACAGACCCCAACACAGATTTTTTTTTAAACACCAAAACAAACACTCTGGCTCATATTTAGGAGAACAAACTGGAAACGAATAATAGCAAATGGGCCCTGGAGCCTTTCCACATGTAGCTCTCTCCAGAGCTTGTTCCCAGATGGAAACCCATTTCCTTCCCTGCCCTAGGTGGTTGGGGGGGGGCCCTGCCCCTTCCTAGGCCCACTCCTGGGAGCCCAAAAGGATGCTGAAGTCCGAATGGGACCTCTGGGTTGGGGGCTGCCCTCTGGGCCATCAAGACTCTATTAACATATCAAAAGACAATCCCTGGAGCTGGGAAGGAGAGCTGAGATTTATAAACAAAGAAGTTGTTTCTCTGATTAAGTTACTTTCCAAAGTAGTGTGGCTATGTTTCAAAGGGAACTTGGGTTTTCTTCATGAAAATAATGTCTCTTGGCTTTCTTCTGGGCCATGGATAAAGTCAGTTAAGTAGTTGTGGCATTTGGTAAGAAGCTGGGGTGAGTAACCTGAACTTTTGAGAAGGGGGAAAATCCACATAATAATCTCCATAATATATATGTAGTTGAATGTTATGAAAATATATACTTTTCCCCTCCTGAGGAAAAGGTTCAATGTACACAAATACTTAGGTTTTAAGAAGAAATCTTAGCAAGTTTCTCCAACTTGCCTAAGGATAGCGGCTCTTTTCAAATTCTACATCCAAAGACTGCTCTCCATGTTAGAAGGGAAGAAAGAAGAGAAGGGTAGTTAGAGTCCAAAGGTTAAGGGTTTAGAGGTCAGTCCTCCTGGCTGAAATACAGCTAATCGAATAGAAAATTTGTCCTCTGGATGAACCTGATTCTGTAATTTACCCGAACTTCAGTAAAATACCTTTTCAGCTTCTCAACGTGAGGGCGTCAGAAAAAAGACATCTTGACTATGTATGAACTCTGTGCTTTTTGTCATAGAAACAATGATGCAAATAATGCAGGAATATCCATCTTTAATATCCCGACGTGGAGATATTCAAGTATTGCCATGTGCAAGTCTGAGAGCCAGGCTCACCCCAAGGAGGAACAAAGAGCTGTCCCCAGGGTCTAATACAAAAGACCAAGGCTTGGAAGATACTTTAGAGAAGTGGAATTTCAGCCTAGGGACTCCAGTGAATACCTGCCTTCAGCTCTCAGGAGACACAGAACCAAAGAAAACGCCTGCAGAGAAAGTGATTTTTCCCTCCCACTTCTAAAGTGTTCTAAAACATTGAAAAAATAACACCATTCTGGATCTTAAAATTAAGTTTTAAGCTTATCTCTTCTTTCTCTCCCCTTTTGGCAACTCCAACCAGGGGCTTCTTTTTTGGAGCCTGAGTCTTTGGGGTTTAAATTTTTAAAGACTTGTTTCATGTGAGTATATATGAACTCTGGCCATTACCTTTGACTCTTTCCTCCTTATCTTCAAGGGTCAGCATTTTAGAAAAATGAACTTTGAACTCTTCCTAGGCAAGGCATAAGAAAAATAACTAAAAGATATCTCTCCTGTTGTTTCAGAGTGATATTTTAAAAACTACAGTTCTCAACACAAAGAAGAGGGCTTGAAAACTTTCATACTCTTGCAATTTCTTCTTGTAATTAATGGGCCGAAAACACTTTAAATTTGGTTTTGTAAAAATTAGAGCCTCGGGGAGAAAACCCTAAGACCAACTTTTATGAACTTCTAGATTCAATTAAGTTTTTTCCTTTTTTAAAGCAAAAGGTCCTCACCTTCCTACTTTCTCCCCACCATACAGCCCCTCCCCCATAGAGGGTATAAGCCAATTCCTATAAAATACTGCTATGTATTTGGGGTTATTTGGAGTCCTGACTCATTATCTAACAACCCAGTACATAGAGTTTTGTTTTCCTTCCCCAGAAGGAAAATATTGGACCATTTGTTTCTTTTTTCCCCTTTCCTTTAATCATCCAGAACCGATTGTAAGCACAGTGCTGAAAAAAGCACATATGGAAATATATTTGCAAGAACTCAACTTTGAGTGGATCATTTGCTTCCCTTTAGAAGGGTTAAGGGTCCCCTATACACATTTCCAGGGAGTAGGGAGGGTGTGGAGTTCAAAATGCCAGTTATAGACAGAAGTGCACATATCTCTGATTCTGCTCCCTTTTATCATTTAAAATATTTTGGCATGAAAGTGTCAGTTATTTCTGTACCCAATTTCCCAGCAAATAAATACTTTAAGCAATGGTATCTAAACATAAAATAACCTGTTTCTACTTTCTCCCTAGACTTATTTCTTTGCACATGGAACCACTGGGAGCAAAACAGCTTTTTTTAATCACAAAGGAAATTCTACAGGCAACCCAGAAAGTTCCACAATCTAGATACAGCTCTCCTGCAACTACTGAAAGCACCTAAGAAGGGGTGGCCAGTCTTCTGCTTTAACTCCCCCACATTATTAAACCACAAAGGTCCCTGGAGGGGTGGTGGAGGGGAAATGTCCAAATTTATACTGGGATAAAGCATCCAGCCTTCATCGGCAAATTCAAAATCCAAGAGTGGAGATTTTCATGAGTTTAATGACTCAACAAGGTTTTTATATTCTCAGTAGCTCCTGCCATATCATATACTTAGAGAATCGCGACCCCCTCCCATCCCCATCCTCGCTCTAGGGAGGGGGCTGCCCTAGGGCAAGAGGATGCTAACCTAGTCCGAGGGTGGCCTGCATGTCCCAGGTCCACCCCACAGTACCTTAGAGCCCAGCAAGGTGACAGCAGGCCCGGCCTGCCCCCGCAGCTTCGGCTCAGCCTGGAGCGCAGGGAGGGATGAGCCTGGGTCCCCACTTCTATAAGGTCGTCAGGTCCGTGTGGTGGTCCTTGGCCATGGGCTGCAAATGCTGACCTGGAGCGGCTGAGGAGGAGCAGGAGGAGGAAGAGGAAGAGGAAGATGATGATGACGATGACCTGCCTTTGGTGTTGGGCAGCTTGTGGTCTTTTTTCCACTTCATCCTCCGGTTCTGGAACCAGATCTTGATCTGGCGCTCGGACAGACACAGAGTATGAGCGATTTCAATCCGACGGCGCCTTGTCAGATACCTGTTAAAATGAAATTCTTTTTCCAGTTCTAGGACTTGCTGCCGGGTGTAGGCCGTCCGGGATCGCTTGGGCTCCCCGCCAGTGTAGTTGGGGTTCACTGCGAGACAAAACAGACAGTATAGCCAGGTCAGCGCCCGCCGCTAGTTAGGCCCTTCGCCTCCGCTGCTCACTTCCTGGCGCGTCCCGAGACCGCGGCCCTCCCCGCGCACTCCCAGGCTCTCTTCCTCCCTCCCGCCCTCTCCCCGGCGCATACACTCCCACCTACCCACCCCCTCACACACACCCACTCCCCCAGGCTTGCAGCGTGGGATCTCCAATGGGCTCCTTCTCTCCAGCCCACCACCAGATTCGGAATCCCCAAGCATTTTGGAAATGCTGCTCTCCACCACGTTCCCTCTACTCTGAAAATGGAGTCCTTACCCACCCCAGCGCCTCCCCACCCCTTTTTGCGCCCACAGTCAAGCAGCCAGCCACATGGTCCCAGCCTGCTCTCTCAACTATAAAAATTTATGGGGAGAGTAATTGCGGTGCCCCTGGAAGCTCCACATACCCCCACCCACTCGCACCCCTGTCCTGGGGGCCCAGGCCAACGAGCTGGGGTGGGGACAGAGCGGTTGCTGGAGCCGCACCTTACCCGAATTCACATGCACCTTCTTCATCCAGGGATAGACTACAGCTGGTTGCTTGAGTGCCGTCCCGGGGGGCGGCTGCTTGGGTCCGCTGGACTGGCTGCAGGCCCGGGCGCCAGGCAGTGGCGCGGGCGGAGGCGCCGGGGGCGCCGGACACGGTTCTCCCGGGGCACTGTAGTGACCGCCAGGGACGCTTGGCTCTTGCCCGTGACCCCGAGCAGACAGCGCCGAGCCAGGCCCGGGGCCCCCGCCTCCGAAAGGCTGCTCACCGAAATCAGGCCGCGGGTAGAGCCCCGGGGGCTGGAAGTCTGCGCCCTGCGTGCTGCCGCCGTAGTAGTCGGCACCCTGGTCGCCTAGGTAGCCGCCCTGCAAATATTCCTCGCATGGAGGGAACTTGGGGTCCACATACTTGGAGTTCACCATATACGAACTCATGGCCATTAATTTCTGAAGGTAGAAAATACTAATTTTTCTCGTGTTGTCTTTTTTTCTCCTTCCATAGGGCCCTCCTACTTGCTGTCAACTGAATAAAGTTGGGCGGCCATGTGACCAGGCCAGCCAATAGAGAGGGAGAGAGTTTATCACCGGGTTGGTGAGCATCTCATAATTTTCACAAATTTAACTAAATAACATACGTGTAATCAAGTGACTCGTCGTGCCACATTTGAGAGCTCCTGCCAGGAGTTAATGTAGTTTTTTAATCCCTAGCACCCCTATTTTCCTTAGGCAACCTCAGCTTTTGTCTGCCACCGATTTTACTAAACTCCCATGCCCTCTCCACTAACCCCTTTGTGAAAGCAGCCCCCCACCAAATGGGCACAGGTCAAGGAAGAATGAATCCTCCAACTGGGGTGCAAGGCAACAAAAAGTGGCTAAGCAAGGTTGCCTCTGAGTTGGGCAGAGTGCCCCAGGCGGGCAGTATCCTGCCTTCCCAGCCAGCAGGAGCTGAGTCTCTGCCATACAAAGGCCTTGTTCGGGGCTTTGTCTTCATCAGGGTCACCCAAAAGTTACCAGAATTTGGCCGGCCTGAATCAAATTAGGCAATGAGTAACTGCCATGCTTTCTACTGGTGCCCAGTCCCCTGTGTTCCCAGCCAAAGCTGCGCCCTCCCGACATAGCAAAAGGCCTCCAGTGTCCTGGTCGGTGTAGGTGAGGAGTGAGCAGGGATGGTGATGAGGGTAATTATAATATCACCTCACCCAAACGCACCCCAATGGTCCCCACTGGCCTTCCTCCCAGCTTGCCATCTTCCTACAGGCGGGCCCTAAATTCCATTGAGCCCAAATTTGGGTACCTTTGTACTTCCTGCCCTTTAGCGGCAGAGCTGGGGCTGGAACTAGCTGGCCTTAAACCTCATTCCCCAGTACCCCCCAACCTAGCCCTTTAGCCCTGCCTTCATGCAGCCAACGGGTTTTCTTTCTGCAGCTTATGCAGGGGCCTCTGTTCAAAGGTGAGAAGGAGCTTCTGGAAAGGAAGTTTGCTCTATCACCAGGTGCAGTTGTCCTCCTGGAGTCCAGGGTACTAAAACAGAAGTGGCTGACTGTGCTGACCATTTCTAGTTTCCACCTTGGTATCTGGCTATTTCGAAGAAATGTGAAGTTTTTGCATCGACCATATATTCCCCTAGAATCGAATCTGTGACTATGTGGATATCACACAAATTCGGTTCTACAGGGTATATATAGACAACGTACCTCTGGGTCCCACCCACAGTGGGTACCCAGGCTGATGCCAACCTCAGCTGCCTTCTGTGAGCCACCACCAGCCTGACATAGCCACCCACATTCAGAGACAGTTCAGGTAGCCTGATGAGCTTGGTGACAATTTGCAGCAATCAAGTTCCCTCATTCCTTTACCAGGGCCAGTGTTACTAAGCAGCCAAGCAACCAGAACGTTCTTAAAAAAAAAAAGAAAAGGAAAAAAATAATCCATCCCAGCAATTTTAGTACTCCCTTCCCCCTCTCCAGATCCAAATAACACCGCCCCCCCTTTTATCAAGTCGTATTTTCCAGAAAGGAACAAATTTCCTCAGCGGCAGAAGAAAATGGGGTAGGAAGGGAATATCCTCTGCTTACTCCTTTTGCTATTGCCTGACCAAGCCAGATTAGCTGCCAAAGCGACTTCTCTAAGAAGTCGCACGTTTACCTTTCCGGGCCCTGAGCCCGCCATCCTGTTTGTCCCGCTGTTGCTGCAGAGCCCGAGGCAGGCGCTGCGCTGCTGCTTGCAGGCACCGGAGCCGCCTTGGGCTGAGGCCGGCAGCTAATGGTAAAGGGTAGGGTGAGGGGTCATTTGAAATCATTTACAAACATATCACAAAGTTTCATTATTTTTGGTTTGGCGACAGCAGCACACAGGAATACAAAAGTTCACAAATTTCACCCACCCCAGTGCCTCAGTGCTGTTTGAGCATGTCCCTCATTTCAGGGCACTGAAGACTCAGAAGCACTCAGGGCTGGGAAGGATTCCAGGAGCAAAAGGATGCTCTGGCTTGAGTGGGGCTCTGGATGCCGGACCATAGGCTGAAAGTGTTAAATTTGGGGGGGGGGTTGTTTTTAGTACCCTTCCCCACAATAATTCAAAAATCATTTAAAATCTCAAGCCCGAGACTGGTGGGGTGGTGCAGGGAGACTCCCTCCTCCCAAGCCTGGTGCTTTGCACACTACCCCCAACAAAGACACCCTTTGGTTCCACCACTTTAGTTATTTTGTAGGTATTTCCTGGGAGGCAATTCTTACAAGGGCTCTGAGGCTGCTGAATCTGTACCAGAAGAGTCACCTCAATTTTGTCTAATGCCAAGCGCTCCCAAGTATCCACCTTCCTGGGGACACAGGGCCTAGGCTTTTCCAGACAAATTGGGGGAGGCTGCTAAGCCTGGTGGGACCCGGGTGAATGTACACATTTTCATATTTGTTAGACGCTGTGACCTGCATTTCACCTTATTGCTCGACTTGTTCAGACAGGTCAAAGCCAACGAGTTATTGATGAACAAAAGCGTTAAATATTCACCTCCCGCTCAACTGCCCATACTAATGCTTTTGATCTCTCTGGTTTTTTGTGCTGTGTTCAGCTATAGGGCATTGAATGTAGGTTTGCAAGTGAGTAGCCTCAGCAGAGATAAGCACCCAAAGCCATATCAACTGAAGCAGGGGGGCACGAAGAGGGGGTTATGGGGAGACCAGATTTTTCAGCCTTGAGCCCAGAACCCCTTGCTTGGGAGTCGGCCTGATTCATGGAAGTGGACGTGCTGGGCAGACCTCCACTTCTGGGGGTGAGCACAGCCTCCCAGGGGGTCAACTAGGCTGCCCAGCTTAGTGGGGCCAAAAATACTGGCCCAGAGTCCAGCCCCAGCTTTTTCAACCAAAAGATAGGGTATCTCACAAAGGGAGGGAGAGTAACTGTTTCCTTCACTCTCCCTCTTCCATTAAAATAAAATCACCTCCGTTGGGCAGTGAGGGAGTGGCCACAGTTTTTCCATGACTCTCCTGCAAATACCATCGTCTTAATATCGTGGTCCTCCTGGAGACTTCGCAGGCCTCCTCAGAAATGTACCTGTCTTTTTGCGGCACAGGCAACTCAGAAAGATCCAAATATCCCAGCCAAGGACACCAAGAGCCTCTGGCCCCACCCAATCCCTCTAGGTTTTCCTTGCAGCATCAGCGACTCTGGCACAGAAATTCTGGAACTGCAGTTACACAGAAACAGAGGTGAAGAAAGAGTTTATCCCTCCTCGCTCAGCCAGTGCACGGCCCACACCTCTGGCTCTGGGGCCGGAGGAGGGGCGGTGCGAGGAATGTCCATGCAAGGCTCGGAATTAGCAGCCTTTCCCTGAAGGGGGCCAATGCAACACACTTGGGGCCATAGAGAATTAAGTTTTGTTTGTAGTAAATTTTAAAAAAGAAAAAGAAAAAACAGACGACTGGGTCAGTCTGGACCGGGTTAAACAAGGCTGGGCTTCCTCGGGAGATCGCCTTGCCTTTGGTATTAACTGCGTTGATTCTAGCGGGAGGCGATGCTCACTGCAACTTGTTAATAGGGCAGGCTGCTAATCAGCTGCAAGCTCTTAGCCAAAGGTAGCTCTGTGGCGGAGCTGCACCTGTGCCAAGCCAGGGACAGGCCGGGAAGATCAGAGAGGCACAGGAAGACTAGGGCGAGACCCTGCGGCCTGTTCCTTTAGGCAGGTGACTGTGAACTAGGCCCAGAAACGCTTACCAGGAGCTCAGTTTAGCACCTCCACCCCCACCAAATCCAGCTCTCCTCCCCTTCCTCCACCCCGCTTGGCCAGGCCTGGGGAAGGGGGCGTCCCTTCCACCCACCCACTTCTCGGAGCAGCCCTTGGCCCACTACCTCCCAGGGATCAGTACTGCCTCAGGATTCGGAAGAAACAGAAAGGTACTCACAGTGGCGCTCTCTCACGGTCCTGAACCTGTTGCAATAAAAACCGGGGTCACTTAAATTCCACGGGATAATAAAACAAAAAAAAGATGACAGAAAAATGACAAGACCCAAACACCCCACCAATACCCAGATCTCCCTGCTTCAGGTGCCCGCCCCCCCGCCACAGGAACTGCGCAAAGTTCTCCACGGAGCCGGAGACCGCAGTCCTCTAGGACAGAGCGAAGATTATGAGAGACTTCTGCGCCCATCACCTCCCCCACTCCACGCACCCTTGGGCAAAACCTTACTGGTTGTTTGATCCGACTCAGGCTGCCTGTAACAGTGTTTCCCCAGTGGGAAAACGGGAAGCAAGGGGAAAAAATGGGCCTTTGTGTGTTTCCTTTTGCACAAACAGGCCGGGTAGGTGCAGGTCCACTGGGGAGGGAGTAGTTGGTCCATCCCAGTCTCCTGTCTCTCTGCGGCTGGGAGCAATTCAGCCCCCTTTTCCACTTTCAGGTTGGTTTCAAATTCCTCTGCCCCAAGCAGTACTCCCTCCCCTCCACCCATCTCATCCTCCCTATAGAAGAATCAGGCATGGCTGGGACTTGCCTTCTCACTTCTGCTCCACTTCAAAACAAAGAGCAATTTCCAGGGGGAAATAAGGACCCAAATGATAACCAAGGAGGAGGAAAATCAATGAGTTTAAAGGTGAATGGCAAGGCTTTAGATTGTTATCCAGCTCTACGGGTATGACATCAATTTTTCAGCATTTCTGCTGGAGAGCCAACAAAACCAATCTCACAAAGCAGTGGTGGTCCTAGGGCTTGTGTCCAGCTTCAAGTTTTCAGTCTTCTCTAGTTTCATTCTAGGATAGATAGCTTCTCAGAAATCTCAGAGGCAGGGTCATCTTCACCCTCATCCTGTGTTTCCCCCCACCAAGATTACCACTATTTTATTCCACTTCTGAAGCAGATGCTCTATCAGGGGGAGGAGAGAGACAGTAGGTCCCTCTTACGAAATGGAAGCCCTCAATTTTTAACTGTCCACGTCCAGAAGGGAAAGAAAACCAAGAGTCTCATTCTTTTTGTTAATTTAGGGTTAGACTAAAATTAGAATTAACTTCGATGGGACTTCTCCCTACCCCAGGCGGAAAAGTCCAGACAGAAGAATCCCCCACTTCTGGAGTTGTGGAAAAATTAATAAGTGACTTACTGTTTTTCTTTCCTAGTGGGCAGGGGAGCTGGGTGTAGAACTGTCTCCTTCTTAGCCGGCGCTGGTTGGAGCCTCTCACTTTCCTATCACTGCTCCAGGAACCA